CCTCGTATATGAAGGGACATTTATAACTGGAAATTAAGGGAAATTATAATTCCATGGCCATGGAAATCTGGAAAAGCCAGCACTATTCCATGTTATTTTTGCGAAATTATAATTCCTAACGGTTAGCTTAATTATAAATGTGTGGTGGTTTAGCTTGCTTGCACGCATGTGCCCACAATAGTTAGGAGTTTATATATGTTAACAATAAAATGCAGGGCCAGCCATGCATGGTCCAATCAGCATTCATGAAGCCATATATATATACTATTAAGTTTGGTATACAACTTTTTGTTGTTATTAATATACCAAATATTTTTGGAGGTCACACACACATTAATTAATTCGCGTGTGCACTGAGGTTAATGGAGCTAGCTGTCATGGTAATTAATTAAGAGATTAACCATTGTTTGTGCCAGCTAGCTAGCCGGCCGGCTCTCCAACTGGAAGATTAGCTTAGCTAGCTGAAAGTGGCCTCCCTCCCAACACTACACTTGAGCATCACTGCTGCTGCTAAATATATGCTCAGTGTCATTGTTGGTAATCAATGGTGTGACAGTGATCAAAATCTATATGTAGGAGTGTGTGTGTGTGTGCGTGTGTCTATATATATATATATATATATATATATATATATATATATATATATATATATATATATATATATATATATATAGAGAGAGAGAGAGAGAGAGAGAGAGAGAGAGAGAGAGAGTACAGCTGGGGATGAAAGAAAGCTAATCAATTAAGCAAGCTAGGATGATTATGATATATCATAGGTGCTACATACAACTATGCCAAATGGATGGTTATTAATTGACACTTGATGCCAATTTTCTTGTGAATTCACGCAATTGTTGGAGTGCCCACACAATTGTATGGGTGGACATTACTAAAACATACCCATCAGATGGCGTTATATGATTTTGTAGTTTCAATGGATGGGTGGTTTTCATCGCGATTTAACCCTTAATTTATTGTCATATGGGCGAATGGTGTCCAGTCAGTTTCTTTTCACAAAATTGGCATCTTAACTTACGAAGTGAACTATATAAATAGGATATTAAATCAATATCTATATATCATTTCAAAAGAAGATAATGGTTGTCACCCTAGCAATTAACTCTAATGTATAGAGCATTGTATTACCAACTGCTTTATTAATACTACAAAATAGTCCTCCTACATACGATTTATTTCAAGCAATTAATATTAACACACATGTATAATTTATTTTAATCTATAGCGAAACACGAGTATTTAACTAGTGGCTTAAGAAGCCAAAAGGGAATTGAGGAAGACATAAATTAATGCAGCAGAGTAAACATTAATTGACATCAGAGTATTTAAATATTTTTCTTGAGTACCTAAAGTGCACCAATTTCATTGAATATGACATGAGAAAAAACTGCTAAAAACGGAACTTTACAAGGAAAAAAAGGAAACGAAGGTAAGATCTGCGCTAGGCGTTCCGCTCATGCTAGGGTCCAGGTTTTAGCCTCCTTGATTTTTGCAGCGAGAACTAAAGTCAAGAGCTCTTTATGCTAGAACACCCTTTGGTACCTCTCCTTAATTCCATATCGATCTCCCAAGACGTTAGGAGTAGTAGGGTGCGAATTCCTTTCCTAGGTGTCCTATGGTGCAGTTTGCCAGCGTCGTCCATCAGTTATGAATGGATCCCAATTGCAGTTATGAATGGATCCCAATTGCTCGGTTTTATATGTTCTTGTGCTATCCAGTTAAGAGTATGTATCATTTTTTTTGTGTATCTGCAGTCCATGTTAAGATGGAAGGCCATCTCTAAAGTGTGTCTGCAGAGTGGGTAGTACGTGCTGTTTGACCCCCTCGAATAGCTAGTCTATATCAATTATTTGGAATTGATATGGAAAGTAATTATATGATAGAACGATAAATAATACTACTAGTATGATATTTGGATAAAACGTATGCTTAGATGGAGTATTATTGTTAGTTTGCTCTCGTATATATTCTTGTTACAGTAACCCCATATCTCATCAATTAATTAATTAACCCAGCATCATTTTCAGCAATAAACATGATATAATTAACTCTTCTCTCTAAGGTATTATATATAGGTATATCCTGCTGCATATGGCACGACTCGGCTAATTTCTTATATAACGTACTCACTTAGAGCAGGTACAATAGTAGGCTATAAGCCAACTACAAATATATTTTAAGAAGATAAATAAGGAGAATATATTTTAAGAAGATAAATAAGGAGAGAGAAGAGCAGCGGGCTACAGATTTGTAGCCAGCTGTAGCACGGACTCCAAGACACAATGTGTGTATGACAGGTGGGACCAGGTATTAATAGTGTAGTACATAACTATTGTATGAATAAGCTATTAGATTGGCTATATATGAATTGGAGCTAGTAGCTGGCTATACTATTAAACTTGCTCTTATTGTCTTCAGTTCTAGAAGTAAATAAAACACACGAGAAAAACACTGCCCAATACTTTAATTATTTCTCAGACAGCATCCAACTTAATAATTTCGAGGGGTCAACCTTACTGCATTAAAAAAACAATTAATTAGCCGATCGAAATTTAGAGATCGTGCACAGTGATGCTTGTCTCTTTTCAGTCGTGCGAATTGAAGTCCACCCCAAATTAAATTTAATTAACTTTCCCCCCAAAAAATATGCCTACATCCTGCTGCTAATATATAACATAATCAATTCTACGTACCTATATGATCTTATGTCTAGTAAGCTACTAACAGATTAAACTAGCTAGCTAGCTAGAGATCCAAAAAATTAACTGACCAGCTTGTGCATGCTCTGCTTAATTATCATGTGACCCTACTAACACACTCTCTTATGATCATGCCCTTGAGCGTGCATTGATGATCAATTAGCATCACCAACCAAACCAAGTACTACTAATTATTAATCAACCTAGCTTGCACGCACGCCAAGTCCCCCTCCTTGATGGAGATAGTTTCATTGGCTAAGTAATGACTCATGAAATAATTAACCACCAAACAATAGCTAAATACATAATTAACCCCACGCTAGACACCACGAGTAGCATCAAATATACTAAATCTACACAATATTTTCGCGCTAGAGGGTACGGACAAAATCCGTCAAAATTATTAGAGTTCAGCTGGTTGGTGAGTTCATCAGTTTAGTTCTACCCAGCCCCCGTTAACCTGAACCCACGTGTCAGCCTCGTAATGGTTAAAAATCTATTTATACATATTTGTGCACATTTCGAAGCAACTAAAAAAATATTCTTGCTGTCCTCCAACGGTCGGGAGTGAAATCCTAGCTTCTAAGAAGCACACCTATGATTTTCTATACGTAAGCACGTTATTCATTGTTAATTATGTCGCATATATTAACACCACCTTGAGAGTGTTAGGTACGGTTAGATTCTTGTTTAACTTGACTTTGCCTCTTCATGGACAGCCTAATTTGGTGATTTCTTTTTTCTCGATAATTTGCAAAGAGAACCCGAACAGCATCTTCACACTATATAAATCTGTAAATCTGCTTCATGAAACACCATAATTGGTAGAAGGGGTAAAGAAGACCAGGGTGTGGCCTCTTTTTAGCTTTGAGTGATCAAAGCTAAGCAAAGCTAATTAGAGGCACTTATGAAAGCTAATTAAAGTGCTTTGAATCTAATCTAATCTAATCTAAGTACGGATTTCACAAGTGGAAGCTGGAAACAGGGAGCAAAAGAGACCCTGTCCGGTCCAGGTGAGCCCTGCGTGCGTGTCACGTGCTGCCGCTAAGCTAACGGCGTTAATTGGTGGCTTTTCCGTCCGCCCGGCATCAGAAGCTTCGCTAACGGCGCCGTCATGGGACGGCGAGCCCCAGTGTGGGGCCCACGGTGGCAGGTCTGGCTAGTGTGCTATGCTCACCTCACTAGGGTGATGGGTAGGCTTTGGCTCCATCACCTTTGTCATTTTCTTTTATTTACCTTTTGTTTTACAATTCATATATTGGAAAATTCTAAGCTGCCCTTACATCACTATCTACAGTAGTTGGTGTTAAAATAATAAAAAATATTTATATATATAGTTTTTTTATGTAAGGATTGATTTGAAAAATGTGTCTCAGCATAAAGGTTAATAGGTTTAGTTTTGCTTTTAATAGGTTAGGTTCTATTCTAGTATTATGTAAAGCAACATCATATCTACATGTCATTGTTTTGATTTTATACATAACACAGTTAGGACAATAAAACACAACCAGAAGCTAATTAGATGTTACTTTTCGTTTTACAATTCATAATTTGGAAAATTCTAACCGCCATTAGAACACTGTCTACAGACGTTAGGTGTTAAAATAGTATGGTTGATTATGAGGATCGTTATAAAAAAATGTGTCTCAACATAAAGATTAATAGGTTTAGTTTTTCTTTTAAGAGTAGGTTGGATTCTTCATTTTAATATGTATACTAATGTCATATATACACTGTCATCCTTTTGGTTTTATCCAAAATATAATTTATATAGTAGAACAGAATGACATGACAAAACATTGATTGAGTTGTGTGTCTTATTATCCAATCGAAGAAGCGTGTTCTGAAGCTTAAGCAAACCCTACATTTCTTGTACGGTTGCATGTCTAATTAAAATTCTCATAATTCAAGATTTAACCCCCTCCAGAATCCTTCCGCGCATTCAATCAAAGTCAAACTAGAAACCACAACCACTCCAAACAATACCCTATCTAATCTAAGCTAGGGTCGTAAAATAAGACAATTCAGTACGACTATTAATACAGGTTCAGTGAGCAACCCATTATGTACCGTTGATATCGTCAACATTACTCGTTCCCCGACCGCATAAATTCCGTCATTACCGATTAATCGACATCGACTCTTTTCACCCCAAGAGTAGAAGAAGGTGAAAAAGAAAAATTACAGTGCTAGGTAAAATACCAAAAATAGTGTAGGACCATTTATAAAAGGGGGGTGAGTTCACCATGGGAGGTGACCAGAATCACTGCAGCACACTGGCAACCGTATAAGCCCACCGCAGTCTCCTCGCTTCACACACTCCTCGCTCCACTGCCATTTCCCGCGTAGCCCCCTCGGCTTCTCTTACATTTACATTCAGGTCCTCCCCCCCTCACGGTTCTTCACGCGCGCGAGGGCCCCTTTGTTTTCTCGTATTTACAAACAGGTCCCTCCCATGGACAAGAAGCAGGGCTTCTTCTCCGCGCTCCGGGAGGAGGTCGCCCGCGGCCTCTCGCCGGCGCGCGCTCGCCGCCGGTCGCAGGCGGCCGCCGCGGCAGAGGTGGCCGCGGCGCTGCGGTACGCGGGAGGTGGTGGTGGGGGGGAGATGCTGGCGCCGCTCATGGAGGGCCCGGATCCGGAGTCGGGAGACGGCGGGAGATCGTCGTCGTCGGCGGCGGCGGCGAGGAGGGAAGGGTGGGGGCGGTGGGTGCGCGGCCAGCTGTCGCGCGCGCCGTCGACGGCCGGCGCGGCGGTGGTCGCGGCGGGTGGTGGCGGCGGCGCGGCGAGGCGGAACGACCTGAGGCTGCTGCTCGGCGTCATGGGCGCGCCGCTCGCGCCGGTGCACGTCGCCGCCGGCGAGCCGCTCCCCCACCTCAGCATCAAGGACACCCCCATTGTAAGTGCTCTTGGGTGAAATCCTCTCGAGTGAAAATTTCGGTGAATTTTTTTTTGTGGATTTTGAGTTCTTGGATTAATTAATTTCTAAAGTCGCCACCTATTCAATTATTTCTTCTTCTAGAAAAACCTGCTGGTTCGTTAGGAAGAAACAATATGAAAAAAAAAAGAAAAAGAAAGAAGAAGAACTGGTTCTTGATGTGATGTTTGGATGTGATACATTTTCTCATATCCACTGTACAAACGGTTTATTCCTCATGTAGTGTTCTACCATTTCACTTTCAGTTACCCATTTACTGAAAGAAAAAAGAAATCAGCAACTCTTTGATGTAGTTGTAAAAAGTATTTTGTTGTAGCTGTAAGTTTTACCATTACGATGTGTTCTTGCAGGAGACCTCGTCGGCGCAGTACATTCTGCAGCAGTATCTGGCTGCCTCCGGGGGGCAGAAGCTGCTGTCATCGGTGAGGAACTCGTACGCCATGGGCAAGGTGAGGATGGTGGCGACGGAGTTCGAGACCGGCGGCCGCGTGGTGAGGAACCGCATGGCGGCGCGCGCCACGGAGTCCGGCCGGTTCGTGCTGTGGCAGATGGCCCCGGAGATGTGGTACATTGAGCTCGCCGTCGGCGGGAGCAAGGTGCACGCCGGCTGCAATGGCAAGCTCGTGTGGCGCCACACGCCGTGGCTCGGCGCGCATTCCGCCAAGGGCCCCGTCCGCCCTCTCCGCCGCGCACTCCAGGTAGCACACCGGGGAGCCTGCCATGTCTTGTAGTTTGATGTCGTCTGAAATGTGCCATTGTGTGTATATGGTGGAAGAAGGTGGTAGTCTAACTGAAATTGTTGTTGGTTCATATTGTATCTTCAGGGCTTGGATCCTCTGACCGCGGCGAGCATGTTTGCCGGTGCGCGGTGCATTGGCGAGAGGAAGGTGAATGGGGAGGATTGCTTCATCCTGAAGCTGTGCGCGGACCCTGAGACGCTAAGGGCGCGCAGCGAGGGGCTTGCGGAGATCATCCGGCATGTTCTCTTTGGGTATTTCAGCCAGAAGACTGGCCTCCTTGTGCATCTTGAGGATTCTCACCTCACCAGGATTCAGTCCACCACCGGAGGGGACGCAGTTTACTGGGAGACCACCATCAATTCGTTCATTGAGGACTACCGCCCGGTGGAGGGTATAATGGTTGCGCACGCTGGTCGCTCCGCTGTGACCCTCTTCCGTTTCGGAGAGGTTGCCATGAGCCACACCAAGACTCGCATGGAGGAGGCATGGAGCATCGAGGAGGTCGCGTTCAATGTCCCTGGCCTCTCCATCGATTGCTTCATCCCGCCCACCGACATCAAGTCTGGATCCATCAGCGAGACCGTCGAGCTTCCTCATGGCGAGAAGAGCAAGGTTGGTCTTCTCCAATGCCATAGTGCTAAGGTGGCCGCGTTGGAGAAGGCAGACGACAACGTCGCGTGGAGCGGAGCACTGCAGCGAGATTTCAAGTGATTTGCTGTCTGTTCATAGTTGCTTCTTGCAGTGCCAGTGCTACTGACTCATTTTGATGGTTGTAGGGTAGCAAGAAAGAGCCAAGGGAGGATGATTTGGAGCTTTGCAAATTCCAAATGTCCTGTAAATAGGAAGCTTAAGGAATTCACATGGTCTTCCATATCCCTGAGGAGGCCTATTGTGAAGAACCCTTACCTATCTTATTCAGATATATGGTAGTAGGTAGTTGTTAGTAACTTCTGGCGTTTTTTTTTGTCGGTGCCTTGTGGAAGAACCAGGAGGGGTGTTTCTCATCCTGCACCCAACCACATGGTAAGGGATCATGGTGGTGGTGCTGTTCTTTCTCTTATAGCGATACTAATTTATCGGAGCCCAGCGAGGAAGAAGGGTTTCTTCTCTGGCAATTGAGAGTGATTTTATTCTGATTTTAGCAGTCCAGTGTGCTTTTGGTTGGTGATAGTCTCCGGTCAAAACTAACTTTAGGTGAAAGATTAAGAGTTCTGAATTGCTGTTGCTCTTTGTTTAGGGTTATCATGATGGGTCTCTGGTTGTTTTTTTCCCTGTCCTTCCTTCACATCTCTCTTTATTTAGTATGAGATGGTGGTTGTATTCTACAGAAGTTGATGTAAGCCAGAACTTCTAATGAATATCATGGAATGAATTGTTTCTTTTTGTGGCTTATGGACTCAATTTGCCCCCACACTCCTGCATGCTAAAGCAAATGATGTTAGCTTTTGAATGGTAATATTGTTAGTTGTATAATGCAACATCAATGTTAGCTTTTGCCACTGCTTGCATTCAGCTTTAGTATGCTGTATATGCTGGGGAGTATGATTCATTAATATGATGGCATGGTCCCCATGTGCTTCAGCCTCAGGTGCTGTGATGAATACATGTATTTCTCTTCTTTCTTATGAGGTGTAATTAGCTTTGCCACTATGATACTATCTTTTTGTGCTCCATTCCCTGAGAAGCGTTCAGACTTTCATCAGCACAATGGGTGCCACCACTCTGATGCCATTAGCATTGAATCCATTGATGATCTTTGCAACACTCTCTTTCCTCCTGTGAGTTGGAATAGTTTTATTCTTAGGGCTGTGTGTTCTTCTTGGGAAGAAGAGATCAATGTCTCTAGTTTAAAAAAAAATTATCACTGCCCTGCCTCAAGTCTGAACCTTCTCAGACCCTTCTGACCTGTCCTCTCTGGTCAAATTCTTGTAGATTGGAGCTTTGCAGAAGTTTGTAGCACTTGTTGGAGTTTTGAACCATTCAAGGCCCCTTCGATTTGTATGGAAAACATAGGAAATTTGTAGGGTATGACTCCTATTGAAAAATTTCCTATTTGGTTCTTTGAGACAAAAAGATTGGGACTTCAACAATCCTATGAAATTCATGTGAAATGGCACAAGACAATACAATTTCGATTTGACATGAGGACCAACCTCATGAAAACCTACATTTTGTTTTATCTCTGCTCTTTTTCTTTTTTTTTGCAGGAGTTTTATCTCTGCTCTAATTCGTATATTTTTTTCGGTCTATTCAAATGGCCCTTCCTGTATTTTTCTTTCTTTTAAATATTTGTTTTACACTTGCGTTCTCATTAAAATCACATATTTTTCCTATTATCCCGTTTTCTCATTACACATGCTGGAATTGAATACCAAGAAAGCCACACATTCCAAAGGAAGCCTAGAAAAGTTCATACAACCATACTAGAATGGAACAAAGCAAACTGAACATGCCCTCAAGCATCACTACCTTAGCCTAGTTTGACAATGAAGCCGCCTCCTACACACAAAAGGCTACACAAGAAAAGCATGCAAGAACAAGCTCAACCCTACTCAGCTACTATCCAGCAAGAGCAAAATTATTGCAAGCCGTTTAATTGATCCTTCATTTTCACACATGGTTCCAAACCGGACCCTACGTCTCCAGAAACCGAAGAAAAATTGCGCAAAAGATCTCCCAATGCATTGCTGAAATCAATCAAACACACATGAATCCAGCGAGTTTCTGCAGCTTTTTCTCCTTCTGAAAACCGTTTGCTGCATTTGTGTGTTTTAAAAGTTCAGAGATCGATCAGGACCACACGCACACACACACACTGCTGTCACTGGAGCACTCCAAGGTTGTTAAGAGCAGAGAGCACTTTTAGACTTGGACTTTGAACAGCAAAACACACAATCAATTATGGAGAGAGGAGATGTGTGTGTGTGTGTGTGTGTGTGTGTGTGTGTAGGGCATTGCATATTGCTCTCTCTTTTGACTTGGGTGAGCTAAAGGTGAAGTCTTGATCAAAAAGTTCAGAGGGAAAAGTTGCCCTCACAAGAAAAAAGGAAAAGTTGCCACCTTTACTCCTCTAGTGCAATTGCAAGGTACTTTGTTTGATCAGCAACACATGATATTCCATTCCATGCCATGGCATGGCATCTCAAAGGCTGGGAGTCCAACTGAAGTGAAGTGGCTTGCTGCATGCTGCTGACAAGAGTAAGAAATTTTTTTACTTATTCAGAGATGATCTGGGATTACTGTGGCAGGAACAGTCGGTCAGGGCTCCATCGGATCAAGAAATGCTGTAGGGTAAGAAGGAATAAAGATGGTAAACTGATGAGTGAGAGTGCAGCTGAGTTTCTGCAGGCACTTGGTGTAAAGTGTTTATGCAGAAAGGTTGGTGTTTACAGAGTGCAGGAATGTCTCTGAAGGTGTTATTATGGAGGACGTGCGAGAAGATTCAGAAGATTATCATGGCGTCCTGCAGTTTCAGCTTCACCAGCCTAGCTAGAAAAGAAGCTCAAAATCTATGTCCCTTAATTAGCATTTGCTGCAAATAGGATTAATACCCTTTCTGAAGCGTGGTCGATAGCATCTTTCCTCATATTAAGCATTTGGATAACGAGTTTATCAACCAATAAAACCTAACATGGCATCAAAGCCTATATCTATTGACCGATAAAACCTAACATGGTATCAGACTATCAGAGCGAATGTCTTAGTTCTAACCTATAGTTGAGTCTCGACGTGAGTGTTGGTTGACAAGTTTTTCGGGAATACGCAAGGAGCGCATCTTTGTATTAAGAGGAGTAAAAGTCTGTACAGGTGAAAGAGAAAAGCAGAAGGGGACGGGATTACAGAAAGTCACCCAAGAACATTAAACCCTATTCTCGCGACAATGGTTGACAAGTGGAAGGGTTGCAAAATGGAAGGCACTTTAGACAAAATAATTGGTGATGATGTAAACTGAACAATGAACAAAACGGATCAAATACTGAGGAATTTGGTGGTAGTAGGAGGAAGAACAGATTCTTGTGCAACTGGATAGCACTAGAGTTGTAGCAGTATCCAATGTAGCAAGTGCTACTACTATAGTAGTCTACACTCTACCATGGAAAAGGATGGCTCTACCTACTGTTCTTGCAGATGACGCCATGCATCCACTGATATGAGTGATAGCTGGAGGCCATCTTGAACAAATGTTTGGGAACTGGATCCTATGACATTCCTATCCGGTCCAATGTTTTTTCTGATGAGCTGTAGTGTAGTGCTGTACTGTTTCAGTGTTCAGAGTCCACTGAAGGAATCATCTGTCATGACCCGAGGCCATGACGAGATAAACATCGTCGGGAGAATAGCCGGGCAGCATCAGCTCCTAGAGAAGGGATGTAGATTTAGGCTAGGGAGAAGAACATTGTTTGGGAGGGAGAGATTAGACTAATTGATATTCATTGCTTAATTCATAATAGACACAATCCCATTCTTATATAGATGGTACCAACTTGATCTTTAAGTAAGGACTTAATCTTATATTATCTCTAACTAACTAACAATATTATCTCTAACTTAATTGGTATGGGCTATCTATAGGCATTGGCCTACGGCCCAATGCCCATGACATCATCACTGGGAAGACAGTGAAGATGTGGTTTCTTCAGAAATTTGGTTTTGAAAAGTTTACTTCAGAAAAAAAGAATGTCAGGCTTGTGTTTGTTCATCTTCAGCTTAGAAAGAAACACCTGTTTCATTTGTGTTTTCTGCATCTTTTGCATTGCGCAGTGCATTTCTGTATTTACTTGACTGAAGCCTTCTTCACTTGCAAACAGTAACAGAATGCGATAAAATGAAAAAAGAAACCCACAAAACATAGGAAAATATGAACGGAATGAAAACAAAGAGAAAATTCGAAGACTCCTTTGCAACTAGATAACACAAACACACACACACACACTACACAGAGACAAGACACACAGAGAGAGAGAGAGAGAGAGAGAGAGAGAGAGTGTGTAGAGTAATGGACTAGCAAAGAGGGCAGTAATATTGGGCCAGTCTTGAAGCAAGAAGTGCAACATTGGGCTTCCAAAGTGCAAAGGCCTATCCTACATGGGCCAGGAAACTCACACTGTACTTTGGGCCTTACAAAAAGCACAGCTACCTAAGCTACCCTTTTCACGAATTTTTTTTATTAAAAGTTTTACAAAAATAATTTTCCATTTTGAAAATTGACGGAAGTAGTCGCCTACCGCCCTCTGGGAGGGCGATTTTTAAAAATCGCCCTCCCAGAGGGCGGCGAAAATGACGTGGCAGCCGGCCGTTCGCTCTCGGGCGACGGCCGTCAACGAAATTTGCAGGCGGCCCCCTTGCCGCCCTCCGCTAGGGCGCCGCCTGCAAATGGGCGGCGAGGGGGCATGGAATTTTGCAGGCGGCACCCTTGCCGCCCTCCGCTAGGGCGATTTTGTACTGTGGGGGGGGCCGCCTGCAAATGGGCGGCGAGGGGGCATGGAATTTTGCAGGCGGCCCCCTTGCCGCCCTGGGGGAGGGCGATTTTATACTGTGCTCTATATTTTTGTATAAATATCAATAGTTATCAAATCTTTTTATATTGAAAACTATACAAGATTAAAATCTCCAAGACTGGTAAAATACAATTTTATTATTTTTTAGGGCATATTTGGATTGTTACCGTACAAATATTTTGTTAGTGCCAAAATATAAGCAAGTTTTGGCACTACCAAATATTTGGTAAGGTAAAATTGCATTTGATCATATTTGGTTTGCTGCCAAAATGTAAAATTGTAGTGAAGAATGTTCTACATAATCTCAAATCTAGATTACGTATTACCAATGAATAGGCTTCCATTTTCGTGTGTGGTGTGCTAGTGGGAAAGAAGATATGAAGAGGTTGCCTTCAGATTGTCAATTATATAGCGTCATTTTCACTGCAATATATGTGAACTCAATGAGATACATTATTCATTAGATGTGACAAGACGATCACGCGTGGGCGTGATTCACTTTATGTCAACAGGCAGCGCCGAAAGTTGATAGTGATAACTCGAGCTGCCGCTTTTCATGTGTGCTGTTGTGGACTGTGCGCGCTACTGGATCTGACACTACCGTGAAGCGCCGAAAGTGTGTTGTCGTGAGCATAAGTTGTTCTAGCACCATATGAATGAAAAGAACTATGTAGACGAGACAAACACAAGTAGTACTGCAGTAGTAATAGCAAAAGTAGTACTGCTTTACAAGTTTGTAAGCCAAAAGAAACGGTCACATAAGGACTGAAGAGGTAGAACACTACTGACGAGGCCTCTTACCCCTGTCCCTCCTACCCTGCGCCCTAATGTGCCCCTGGGAGTACGTGAGTCGGTCCGGGGGTACGGCACGGCCAACCCGTCCTGCCTGTACAG